AGACACCCCCCTAACTCTTTCTCACTCTGTCTGTCAGTCCGTCTCTGTGGCTATCGCCAAGTCCATTCTGTTCCAAGTGTTGCTTTGACTTCTAAAACAAAAAAAAAAAAAAAAAGAAGAAGGAAACTATTGCCGTCTCTCTTTTGTGCGAGCGTACGTGTATTCGAAATATCCTTTTTACTCTCTTCTCTAACGTTAATTCTCTTTCTCGTTCTCCCATGACGCCGTATATACGTATATGCGCATGCGCATTGATAATTTGCCTTGCAATCCCGATTACACTTGTGCATCGTCGCGTCCGTGTTCCGTCATTCCGATGGTTTCTCTCGCTTTTGCTCTGACATATTCTTTGCGCCTCTTTAGCCTCTTGCGTGCATCCGTCTTTAACGTCTCAACTGTTATCGTCCTCATCAGCAAAGAATAACGCAAGAAAGAACGAAACTTGGAGAAGGAGGCGTTGACGTCCACATTACGAGGCCCACTCATTTGCACCTTTTCTCTTTCCTTCTTCTCTTCGATTGTCCTCCTCCGGTTCTTTAGCACTTTTCCTCCTTCTGTCTTTAAGTCCACCTTCCTCACACGAATTGCCATGTATCTGGCTTCTCTTTCCCGCTTACATTAGCTCTTTCGCTCTCTCGCTCTCTCGCTCTCTCGCTCTCTCGCCTTTCTCTCGCTAAGCAGAAAAAAATTATAAATCAACGAACGAACGATAAAACGATAGAACGACAGAACGAACGAACGAACGAACGAACGAACGAACGGAAATAAACCAGCGTTTAAAAAATAAGCACCGCTAGCTGGCTCCACCCCCTCCTTTTACCAATGGCCAACGGCAGCAAGGGTGCACACGTGGTGCACCTCGTCGTGCGGAGGGTGGACGGGTGCGGAAGGGGGAGAGAAAATTCAACGTGGGTTAAAGGTCACGGGGTTATATAATGGGACGTAACATTAGAGAAAATCAGTTCGTGTTGGGAGTATGGAAAAGTAGAGAAAAGCAAGAGAAGGAAAATGAAATGAAAATAGAAGAAGAAAGTTGGAAAGAAGAAAAGAACGAGTCGAAGAAATGGGAAATAGAGGAGAATGGAGAAAATACGTGTGTGCGATACGTGGGCGAATGGCTGATTGTGAGAGTGGATAATAAGGCGAAGGTCGCAGGTCACGAGAGTCTCTTTCGTATTCGCACTCACGCACTACTCGACTCAGCACGCACGCACGCACGCACGCACTCACGCACGAGGTTATGAAATTAGCAGTAAAAGCGCTAAAACGCTGCACATTGGCCGGTAGCAACGATTCTCTCGTCTTTCTTATTTATTTGTCTTCTCTACTGTTTGGTAACCGTCACCTTTCATTTTGGCCTCGCGCTTTCAACGCCACGATACTCGCCGAGGGTTGTCGAGTTGGAAAGAGGTTGGGCAGGGCAGGGTTCAAGATCAAAAGGATCAATTAACTTGATACCATTAAATACGGGATGCTCGAGCATTTCTTTTTACTTTTTCTCCCGTTATGCATTTCGCCACTAGGATGACTTTCTCGTCGAGTAGGACATTTCTCAGGGTTGCCATGGCAACGAAAAATGCAGAAGGCAGTTCACAATATTTGTTCTTATTCTTTGACTCTTCATCTCTCTCTCTCTTCATCTCTCTCTCTCTCTCTCTCTCTCTCTCTCTCTCTCTCTCTCTCACACTCACTCACTCACTCCTCCTTTACACCCGCCCCCCCCTCCTTCTACAGGTACTCTTTACATCAATCCTTCGTTAAGTCAAACTATGAACCATGTCCCCCAAGTGACTTGCGCGAAAAATAAATTTGTCCCATTTTTTTTCTCGAAAACCGACAGTAGAAACCCAAACGTCATTTATCCTCCAAGAGATGCGCGCAAAGAATAAGAAACAAGATACGTGATCGAGCGAGAAGATTAAAGAGAGCACACACAGAGACATGACAGCAGCCACGTCGATGTTCGACCATAGAGGAAAACGTAACGAAAAAAAGGAAGACACTTTGTGGTTCGCCCCGTGGTCCGCCTGTGCTCTGGTGGCCTAGCTTGGTTAAGGGTGACCAATTGTCAGGATTCAGGGTACAAAATGGCTAAACGGTGGAAGGGCAATGCAACAGGGATTTACTTTCTTTTCCCTTATCTCGATATTTGTTTTTCCCGAGGAATAGCCGCGACAAGGATATCGCGCTGTTATCCGCGTCACTTGCGAGAAAAGTCAATCCTCGCAAAGTCGCCACTCGCAGTCAGAGAAAAGACTCGCACGGGAATTATTGAGAAAAAATGGCAAGTTCCGAGGAAGAAAAAAGTCCCATACGATCTTTAAAGAAGATCGCAATAGGATCGCAATTCCCAATGACACGCTTCTCGATCTATGCGTGCTTGTTCCTCTTTTTTGGCCTTTCTGCTTCTGTTTCTCATAGCGCGTATTCGACGAGTAGGAAAAACTGCGAGAATGAAAAAGAGAAAATGATCGAGTCGCGATGCAATCAGTGACGTTGATCGTCATTCTAATGATCTCCTGAGTGAACTCTGGTTGGCTACTAATTAAGCAAGAAGTCGAATGACACCGAGCAGCTTGTAAGTGAAAATATTCCATGTTACCCTTGGGAGATATTTATCGAAAAGGGTAATCCATTCCCAAAGAGGATCAAGCACTCGATAGACACGAAGACACGGAGACACGGAGACACGGAGATACAGGGGACGATTAACGATGAGTTGTCTCCTTCCGTAACGCCGTAACGCCGCAACTACTTGCTGGCATCTCTTTAAACTGTCCTTCCTTTAAACGGACAGTCAGTCAGACATCGCGTTGTGACTAGGCTGTGGTCAGGGTACAGAGGGAGAGAGGGAGAGAGGGAGTTGGAACAAGGGGGGGTATACAGCAATAAACGGAGTAACAGGGTGTCATTATAAGGTTACTGGTTATATCTGTTGCTATGTCACTCGGGATAGTTCACATAATATAAGCTGCCTAACAATAAGATTTAAGTGAAGATTACTTTTTGTGTGGTATTGTCTTACCTTGTTTGAAACCCTCGCTGCTTTCTTGCCTACTGGGCGGCCGCGTGAACGTCTCGTCCGAGGCTGGAACCGATCGGAATACACGTTAGCGATTAGCGATTATTCGTCATCCTCGGCGGTGCTTCGTAACGTCTTTGTACTTAGCGAGTTAAGAGCAACAAGAGTGACAGAGACTGAAAAACTGTACTTTCAAGATGAAGACATCGAAGGTATCGGTCGGATGAGAAAAGAAGGAAGGGCGTGATGGAGAAGAACATGCGGAAGTTGGCGTGTCCAAGCTCTCGGCAATGCGAATCGCAAGATTAATAGGGTCTTAATAAGGTAATAATTTGTAAAAATTGTATTTTAACGGGACTCACCCTGCGCGGAAGTACTGGGCGTTGGTTCAGGTTCTCGCTTGACTCTGGTCGTGCCGGCCTCTAGGATATCCGTCCCATTTTCCGTAGGTTCGTCCTTCCTCGAGGTCGTCCCCGAGGCACCGGCACTGTTGTTGCCTCCATTCGAGCCGCCATTATTATTGTTGCTAGTCCCATTACCATTCGCTCCCGAACACGTTCCCGCGTTACTGTTGGCGCCACTCTCGCTCTGAAAGTCCAGACCCATCTTCATCTCCATCATCTCCGGCGAACCTTGGACAAGATCAGCACTCGAGCCTTGAAGATCCTGAGTCGAGTTGTCGCCAAGTGGCGTGTCCGAGGAACCACTGAGCTTCCTCGGCCTGCCACGCTTCCTCTTGGGCGCTGTCAGTGCCGAGCCGAGTAGCGGATGACTCGACATATGGTGAAACCTCTTTTGCGATACGTGCTGAGGCCCGATTTGGTTTATTCTATGAAGGTTTGGCGGCGGTGGAGGTACTACGTTTTGATTTCCGAGCAGGGAAGACGTGATGCTCGGCAGGTCACACTTGTCTTCGTTCACCTCGGTCAGGCCCTTGATCCTTAGGGATTCAGCGACCCGCAGGAACGCCGTCAACCTGTCCTGGTCGACGCTGACCTCACCGCGATACATGAAATCCAGAAGACTGCGCATGTCCACGTACGGGACGTCCTTGAGGATGACTATGGGATGCTTGTCTGGATGCCCGACGAAAAGAGCCTGCAAAGAAATTTCAAAGAAACGGGAATTACAAATTATGCCATCGTCTTCTTTCTTCAGTTCTTTTAAATGTTTTTCATTGAAAGAGCGGCATTACTTTCGTAAAAAGTCTCACCTGAAAGTAGGGACTGCACGCCGAGAGCACCATTTTGTGTGCCCTGAGCAATTGCCCTTCGACAGCCAGGGTTACGTCGACGAAGGACTCATCGTGGAGCAGCTGATCGAATACGGACAGCAGATTACTCTGATGGTTATTCCAACGCAGGCAAAACCTCTGCGACGCCATTGCTTCGCTTCTCAGATCCGCCAGGTTTCCGTTAATATCCGCTAACATCAGACCTAATCTTAATCTTGGTGGTTGCTTTCTCGCTTATCCGCGCGCTATCATCGACGAAGACGTCTTAACTTGGCGCTCTCGTGTTCGCGCTCTCGTAATCGTGCTCGTGCTCGTGCTCTCCTCTTCATCGGCTGGTATCACGTCCTTCTTTCTTGTGACCTAAGATCAAAAGGGATACAATGTAATGATAGATTAGCCAACGATAATTAAAATTTCATCGAGTTTATACTTAAACGGAATAACAAAAGAAATGACAAAGATCAGGAATAAAAGACAAAAAAGAGGAGAAACAAAAAAAGTGTAAAAATAAAATGAAATAAATAACGCATGAACTCATGTCAACCCACAGAGAGGATTAACTAAGTGGGATGACCGAATCCTTATCCAAGGGGGCTGAACCAGTCCAAACTAAGAAAACGAGCCAAGCTAGCCAAACGAACGGACCGAAAGAGCCGAACGAGCCGAACGATCCATCTCCCTATATCTGGCTCCGTATCTCGCACCAAGAAGCATACAACACAACGGCTTCGGTGGTGACTCTATTCACGCGTCATGGAGTCTATCGAGAATTTAACATTTTATTGCGTAAACCAGGACTTTCAACACACTGTGCCCGAGTGTGTCGCACACGAAGGTGAATAGAGACGGGTGTGGGTGTGGGTGTGCGTGCATGGGAAGGGAGATGAGTACTGTGCGTAAGTTCCAGCGCGTTAGAGCGAGAAAGGAGAAGACGAAGACGAAGATGAGAATGAGGAGGAAGAGGAAGAAGGAAAAGGAAAAGGAAAAGGAGGAGGAGGAGGAGGAGGGGGAGGAGGAGGGAGGAGAGGCGCGATCAAAGACGTATACGTGGGTGTGCGACCCTGGACGTAGGTTCGTAGGCAGCAACCGCCTAGCGTAGACCCGAGTTGTTCGGTTGATGCCTTTTACATAATTCTCCTCTCACCCTGCGAGACAATCACGGTCAGAGGTGTGCGTGCGTCTCTCGCTCGTCCGCGAACACACATGCGTGTAGTCAGTCACGCGAGGCTCACCGTTATGCGCGCTCCATAAGTCCTAGCCAGGAAATAAAAGGAGAAGAAGGGCACTTGGACCGACGACAATCCGATGCCTCGACTGCGCGCTCCACCTTTTCCACTCACCTGCTCAAAAATATTAGCTAATTTAGCCTTGATCAACGTTGACGATCGAGCGGGCTGGAGGGGGGCAGGGGAGGAGGACACACGGTAACAGGGAGGTCAGCTGGCCAAGAGAATCAATAGTATTTTCCACGCGTTACAATCGATCGCCTCCGAGACGCTGCTTCCGGGAGCAAATAAATGCGATGGAGCAACGTAAAAAGCAGAAGCGCCAAGAGATTTTCACTGTGGAGGAGCGACCTCTCGCGACCTCTCGCGACCTCTCGCCACCTTGTTATCCAGCCAAGGACACGAGAATATACGCAAAAAGCTCAAGTATTCTGAATTTTCGCAACGCACGCATAAATCGATTCGAAGCTTCCTCTCTCTCTCTCTCTCTCTCTCTCCCGCTCGCGCGCGTGCACTCCCGAGAGGAAATGCCTCGTGGACCGGGAATTCCGCGATCCGCGCGGCCACCGGAAGTGCTCTCGTCCGAAGGTTTGGCTTCTCCCGTAGCAATTTCATCCTGAAAGCAATCCGTATGCGCGAGCGCTGTAACGCAGTGAACGTGTTTGCGTCCACGCACGGAGCGCTGCGCTTTGCGGCCAGGTTGAAGTCCAGCTAGCCGTCCAGTCGGCGTTGCCTGTACCGTTAGGACGCGGAGGCAGAAGAGCAAGGGAAAGAAAGGAAGTGAATCAAAGGGAGAAGAACCGTACGGGTTCGGTCTCGGAATTATTATCGAATGAGCTGACTCTCGAGTAGCAGTGTGCGATACATCCATGGTGTCATGGGGAAATAGTGGAACGGTGGAATGGAGGAATGGAGGAATGGAGGAATGGAGGAACGGAGGAACGAAGTAACGGGTCCGGGCCATCGCGAACTGGAACGCAGCCGAATCGCACAGGTGGCTCGCTGGCTGCCTCTCGGAAGCTCTGAGGGCGCCTCCTCCTCCTTCTCTCTTCTGCCTTGCTCTCCTTCCTCCGCTCTCCGTGTCTTGTTCAACGGCTGCCTGCCTGCCCGTTGGGAGGCAGGCAGTAGACGCACTCTTACGCACACTCCTGCTCAGGAGGCAGCTCGGTTCTCTCACGGCCACGCATTGCGTAATCAGCACAGCGGCAGAGTCACGATGGAACACAAAATGAACGACAAAGCATGGCGCATACCATCCACTGCTGCGAGTATAAGAAGGACCTAAAGTACCAGAAGCGTAACGCAAGAGAATTGAAAGCTGCGGCCGACACGAAATGCAAGGATCGTTGCTGAGGCTGAGGCGACCAGACATTCGTCTTCTGCTTGCAACTTGTAAAACAGTTGAGTTTGAGGTTATGTTATATGTTACCTTACGTTTCTCAGCTAGAGAGTGTATACGGGGAGCAAGACACGTGAGATAATCAAAAGAGAGAGAGAGAGAGAGAGAGAGAGAGAGAGAGCCTGCCTCTCTGTCGATTTGAAAATGAAAGACAACGAAGAATCGATATTAAAGAGGCGCGCGAGCGCGAGCGCGAGCGGGAGAGAGAGAGAGAGAGAGAGAGAGAGAGAGAGAGAGAGAGAGAGTATTGGGATGACTCGTCGTGACGGGTCACAACGTGGTGTAAAGTTCCATCGGTTTGCAAAGCGAGTGGTACGCGCTCAGATATCTCGTCACCTCCCCACTGGGGGAGTGCCAGGATGTGCTTGGAACGACGGACGCGTCCCAGTCATAGTCCACGTCCATGTAGATGCGATAGGTGTGGTAGGTGTAGTAGTAGTAATGAACGTAGGTGCAGGTGTCGGTAAAGAGGAGGACAGAGCCACGAATACGAGTATGCGCATTCGGTCTTTTGCCTTTTGCCTTCTGTCTTCTGTCTTCTGTCTTCTAGGAGAGACTCTCGCGGCTGAGATACTCGCGTTGGTGGTTGTGTTCACACACGCTCGGTCGATGTACGTTTATATATTTATATCCGAGTGTACGTACGTGTGCATCTGTAGCTACGAATCCGCAGTAGCGTGTCCCACATTTAGATAGCTTTGGCGGGGGGAGGGGGGGGGCAAAAATGGTTTATAGTTTCTGATCTCTCTAGCTCTCCAACTCTCCCTCGTTTTCTCCACCCTACACAACACAACACTCTCCCCCCACCCCCACCCCTCCCACCTCCTCTATGACGTGTACTTCGAACATCCGTTTAGGTAAATACGCGTTAGTGTCGTTTGCTGATCCAAGGTCGAGATTGCTACTGCACGACAAATTTCTATTTACACGCGTTCCGTGGCAACGACTCACAGATCCAACTGCATACTAAGAAATCCTATTGAGATTTCCGGGTAGTAGAGAATCCATCCAATGGCAAACCAGAAGATTGAGCCACAGAGTACGAACGGTGGTACGATAGCTAGACAACAGCAGAGACAGTGAAATATTCCCTTCTAGAGGTGTTCTTTTCTACAGGCTGTCAGTTTCCACGTTATCTGGCGCTGCCCTGTTGCCTTGCTCTCTTGCTCTACTCTTCCCACTCTTTCTCGCTCTCTCTCTCTCTCTCTCTCTCTCTCTCTCTCTCTCTCTCTAACCAACGCACGCGCACGCACACACGCACACGAACACGCACGCATGACTACGTACGTACGTGACCACCACCCGCACGCATCCTCGGCCGTCCCGACGCACACGGGTGCGCATGTATATTCAAGACGCCATCTTTCTTTCGCCCGTTCGAACTCCCCACCTCAGAGTATCCTAGTCCTCCGCCGCAGAGTGAACCCCACCACCCCCCACTACCGCGACGATACTTCTAACCAACCCCTTCCACCGTACTCCCCTTAAACTGGCCGACACCCCCCACCACCACCATCGTCACTATCTACTCTCGCCCCTCACCCCAACCCTCGTGCTGCGCTCCGATCACCGCCGCCATCCATTGGCGTCCACCCCAACTTCTTTTTTATCCATTATTACTAGCGCGGATTTTACCTGCCGGAAATTTAAAAGCTACTCGGCAGCCCAAGTAACGGAGTATTGTTCAGGACTAGTGGTGCGCGAAGCCTTTGAGAATTCAATGCGAAAAAGGGTTGAAATGATCCATATATAGTTATATAAGTTTCCACGAACTAACACCAGGGGATTGCTATTCATGGCCATTTCTCCGAATATCGGCGCCCTATGGAACGAGAGCGAAATTTAATTTTTATACAGTATGCTAGTGGGGCTTAACTGGGACCTAACCTAACTGGGCCGCGGAACCTGCTTCAATTGATGTGTACACATACCAGTCACCAGCCACCAGCCACCAGCCACCAGCCACGTGTACGATACGCATATCCAGTTATATAGGTAGACTCCTAGATACGTGCACATGCTGTGAATAATATCCACCGTGTTCTCCCTTGTGACTGTGGCCTTCCTCGTGTCTGCTTAAACCTCCCAACCAGCAACTAGGTATACATCGCGACTATAGCTCAGTAGAGACCAAACGTGCTTCTACGCTGACAGTGCATACACGCTTTCCTCATTCCCCCCACCCGTGACTAACGTATACAGCTTCGAATCTTGTTTCAACTCGGAATGAATATGGGAGGAAGCGCTGAACAACAAGAGAGAACACGTGGCATACTGGGAAGTCTAGTCGGTAATACAGTTCGCGGATCGGCTCTGATAAGATGCAATGCGAAGCAATGTAAAGTCGGTCGTTTCCCTCTCTGATTGTGAATTGAATCCGATCTTCGTTTCAACGAGTATAAGTACATCACATGTCCATTCGCATATACGTAAAGTTATGGAGTAGATGCATGACGCATGACGCGTTATGCGTTACTGGCATGTGGTACTCCAACAATTTTAGGAGAAAAACGTAACTATAGGGGAAGGATTGCGTATACTATAACAGAGGTTTGTCACATACGCGCTGATTCTTAACCGTAAGAGGTACTAGGTGGGGTGGATCCTTGCGGAGGAAGAAGAATATCCTCAAACAGGAGGGCTCAACGAGAGAAAAAAAAAAACAGAAAAGCGAGAGACACTACGTACACACTATTACACTCTTGCACCATTGCACCGGTACACCGTTACACGTTATTGCACCATTACACCATTACACGATACAGCATCCTGATCCTGCCAGCAGCATCTGCTGGTACGACGTCTACACGGCTGCGCACCCTTTATGCTCTTTAAGAAGGCAAGTCTTTGCGAAGACGTCGTAATCGGCAGGCAGCACCGCGAAACTGTTTATGAGAATGCTACGTCACTGCAGTGGTATTCTTCCCTCGTGCCGCTCGAGGAGTCGAGTAGGGCTTACCGTTAAGTTAAGCGAGCCGATCGCCATTCGAGAGAGAGCGTGAGGATTGCCAATCGGTCGAAAGGAAGGAGTACGAAGACGAAGAGACACTTGAGGAGAATCGCCTGGGAATCGACTCGCGAGACGGCGGCCACCCTCTTTTGGGTCAGGGCGTTGCCTCCTCTACACATTTAATATTTGCGGGTCGTTCGCTGCTTACGCCTCTTCCTTTTCTCTCCCTCTCTCACTCTCTCTCTCTCTCTCGCTATATCCGTTCCACCTCTCACTATCCTTTCCTCGTTCAACCATTCACAGGGCTCCGGATTCTCCGATCAACGATTACGCAATATCCCTCTGTCACATAAAGCGCCAGACTGCCATGTGTAATGTGTAAAGCGTAGTACGTGGTGCGTGTCATGTTGGATGATAGTGACGCTCGTTACAACGTAAAATGTGTTACTGCCTTATTCGAGACTCAGGTTACCCTCGATTAGTCAAAGATATACAGAAAAAAGGATGGACGTAATAAAAATTATTGGAACGAATACGTAAGGAGGATATCTTGTAGAGGACTCGGGATACTGTTAGGTATTAGTAGATGGAATCACGAGGTATGTTGAAGCGACGTTTCAGGCAGGTTATGTATTGCAGCAACGAACCTGTTAGTTAACAAGTGTACACGAGTGACGAAAAAAGAGAGAGAAAGAGGGGGGGGGAAACATGTACCACGTGGTAAGAAGAAATGATGATAGTGTCCCACAAGAGAGAGCGCCGTGGCGCTCCTCGAAAATGAAGAAATTTTGGCGATGGGCCGAAGCACGTGCGCGCTCTTGCAGTATAGTATCCAGGTTCGCTCGTATTCGTAGTGGCGGCGCTCGATTCACCTGTTACGGTGCCGAGAGGAGACACTTGCACGATGTAAACAGAAAAGAAATAGCGCTCTACTTCTCATCTTCGTCAACCTCGTCCACCCCTCCTACTCTTCCTCCTTCGCAACGTCGTCTAGACAGGAGGGAGGAGTGCATTGGGGCAATGAAAAAGGGAGTTGCTAAAGGTATTACAAGAGGGTACTTAGAGGGGTTCCCAGTAGCCAAGACAAATAATGAGCGTGTTCCGCGCGTGCGGATCAAAGCAAAAGAGTAAGAGAGAGAACGACATAGAGTAAAATCGAACGAACCTATGTGTACGACGAGTAAGCCGAATAACAGTGGGCTGAATAAAGTTTAAGACGCGCCTATTCGAGCGGAGCGGAGAGGAATGCAATGGAGTGGAGTGGAGTGGAGTGGAGTGGAGTGTAGAGCACAGTGTGCAAAGTAGGAGGAAAGGCACCCTGGAGCCTAGGGCGTAGCGGCGCCTATGAGCAGCGCCATGCCACTCGCTGCGACACGTCTCCGCACGACGAGAGATATTTACGCAACCCTCGGAGCGCTCGAGCGAAAATCCACGTCGCCCGCACAAAGTACACGCGACGACGTGCGTCCACGTTCAGAGTATGACGACAGTCCCGAAGAATGGTGTTTTCTCTCTCATTCCTCGAGTCCCTCCCTCTCGTACTGTGATTTTTAAGGAGACTGTCCCTCGAGGGTTTGACGCGGATCTTGCCTTGACATCCCCCTTTTCGCGACACGCGCACGTATGCAATTGATATCACACAGACACACAGTCACTGTTACCTTGCGCGCCGCTCTCACCCTCTGTATCCCCCACACCGCGGCGTAATATCGATTCGCAGTCTCGAGGGTAGCCGATGGCAACGACCCTCCACCTAGGAATACGGTAGCGGGGAAAACGATCACGAGGACGTCGTTCAGGATGACAATCACGTTCACGAGGATGTTGCACCACGACCACGACGACCACCACGACGATGACGACGACGACAACGACGACGACGTATTTTCAGGTCGAGACCGTGGGTCCCACCCGGTTTTTCCCGATGACACCGTGTAATAACCCACGATAGTTCATGCCCATGTTCACCCGTATCACTATCGCGTACGCGAACACTCACCTTGGCATCTTCGGGGTGCGTCGGATCCGACGGGGTGAGCCTCCAAACGGGGACGTGCGACTTGGCCGTACAGCGCTAGGACGCCATGTCAGCAAGTCGAGGCAGACACTCGGGGCAGACTCGGGGCCCGGGAGCCGGGAATTCCTGGTGCGCCACCGCACGGTCGCTACGGAACCTCGCCTACGCCCGCCTCACGTACGCCCGATCTCTTCCGTTCACGGCCCCTTCACCGCTTCACCGCACTCGTGACACCCGCCCGTTTGCGCGCCCTCGTTCAACGGAACCACCGCGTTCGCAACCTCCCGCGATCCTACCGCTCTCTACCCCACTTCGCCACACTTCTCGCCGCTCACCTCTCTCTGCCCCGCTCACCACGCACTTACTCTCTCTCACTCTCCGCCCTCTAGACTCGTACTCCTCCCACTCTTACCCTCTCTCACTACTTGGCCATCGGACCAAGAGACCGAAGGACCGAATGTTCCAGCGTACCGCACCGCACCGCATATCCACCAGCAACAGCACCAGCGTTTCCTCCTCCACAAGAGCAGTGCTGGCTGCAGTCGACACCACCACCACAATCTAGCTACCAGAGCCTCCCTGATGTCCCTGCCCTCTATGCGTTGCTGCGCGCTAACTCTTTCGATATCGCCACCTAGAGGGAGCTATGCCACTATCTGCGTCTTTCTCGCTCCTCTAGGCAGGATCGAAGCGCCCTCCTTCTTTCGTACTCTATTTTCTGGTTCTTCTCAGTCTCTCTTCCTAGCCGCCTTATTTCATACGATTCGTAGGAAACCCCTGCTTCTCTCTCTCTCTCTCTCTCTCTCTCTCTCTCTCTCTCTCTTTCTCTCTCTTTCTCTCTCTCTCTCTCTCTTTCTCTCTCTCACACATTCATACGTGGTCACTCTTCTACACCCTATCCCACATATCGAGCCACATATCGTAGAATAAAATTCGCACCTTTGCCTTGGAGTTTACGAGCCTCACGGCGACATTTAGCTGGTGTACCAGGAGCACCCGGAGCACAATTGTAAATCCTTTTCTTGTTGATGTCGATAAAATGGTCACTGTAGTCCCCTTGCCCACCGAGGATGTTGGTCCGTTTCTCCTACAGTAGGTTGTACTCCTGCTGCTGCGTCACAGCCACTCCGCCACCTCTACCACCTCCACCACCGCCTACGCTTCTTACTTCTCCGCGATCTCTTCTACGACCTTCTGCTATACGTACTTCTTGAAGAGACGGCACTGCAGCCACCACCATCACCACCATCACCACCATCACCACCATCAACAGTAGCAGCAACAGTAACGCACCACCACCGACGAGTCCAACACCTTAACCAGAGCAAATTCGCGGTATAGTCCAAGATACAGTCAATCGCGCCGTTTCCTTCCGGAAAAGCGAAAGAACGATCTTGCGAGACTCTTCGGATCTATTACGAATGACACTGATTGACGGTGGTAAAGTTTCCTATCGAGTCGGCAGCACTGGTATCAGTCAGTATCGCCGACCACCGGGTTGCAGTATCATCGACGATATCATTACGAGTCACAGCACACAGCAATAATCAACAGTTGAAAGCGAACGGCCCTTCTCTCTTGCGACCTTCTCGCGTTTCGAGTGAGAATAACAGTAACGACAATAATAACAACAGCAACTACTACTACTACATTAATAATAAGAAGAAAAAGGAAGGCGACGGGATGATCGCGTCATCATCGCCAAATATGACTGACGCACTTTTTCTTCCTCGGTAACGCGAAGAAGCAACGAGTAGTGTACAACAGCCACAGGAACTCACGGTGCAACCATGAAAAAGTCAAAGAGGAAGTCCATAAAGTAGTTTCGAGTGGGCTGGAGTCTAGGATAGGGTGGTGGGAGGACTGGTAGGGTGACGTGGGAAAGAAGGAGAGTTATCCGTCGCCGAGGGGGATGAGAATGGATCGTGAGAGGGTGTGAGGTTGGTGGGGAGAGACGTAGAAAAATCTACCAGGAAGCACACAGGGATGAGAGGAAATTCGCGGCGCAAACAACAATGGGCTCGTATTAAGTGCTCAATCGCGCAAGCGCGCGCGGCTGCGCACTACGGATTGACACTGATAGCTAGTATGCAATATATCTGTATATATGTTTTAACTCGCTCGCTCACGCTCCCTCTCCCTCTCTCTCTCTCTCTCTCTCTCTCTCTCTCTCTCTCTCTCTCTCTCTCTCTCTCTCTCTCTCTCTCTCTCTCTCTCTCGCGCGCGCGCGCTCTCTCTCACTCTATCTTCTACACGTGAAGCCCTCTCTTCGACAAATACATACTCAGGGCGGAAGGACGAACCGGGTAGCACGAAGGGTGGCATAAGACTGAAGGGCACCATAAGGATCCCACGGACCTTTTCGGTCGACTGATAAAAAGGCTGGAGGCTGCGAGATGGACAAAAAAAGCGATTGGTAGAAGCAGCCATCAGAAGAAGTCAAGGCGGTGCGAGCGGAGCGGCGCTCGGGGAGGACCGCGAGAGATGCGGTGGAGAGCGGCGACATGAATGCGAGGCATGATGACGGTGGCGAGCGGGGCGCGAAAGGCGAAGGTGGCTCAGAGTCAAGCTAAAGGGGCTGAAGGGGCCGAAAGGGGCCGAAAGGGGCCGAAAGGGGCCGAAAGGGGAGCCTCGGCCGCTTCCATCGTTGCCTCCACCAACACCGATTTCGTCGACATCGTCGGCGTCGCGATGATTCGACTCCTCCGGCGGATCGAGCGTCCTTGACTTCGCTCTAGCAAGAACGCTGTTGCTACTAGGCTTCTGACTTGAACCTTATTCTATCCTTTGTCTCTTAGCTCGTAACTCGTAACTTCTAGCTTCTAGGTGCTAAGGCGACCTGACTGGAAAAATCTCGTCCGAGCGTGCGTAACTGCCGACGGTGCAGTGCTGTACGCTAACCAAGGGTGTAAGACGCCCCGAGCTCGAACGCCGTACGAAAATAAACAGCGACACGAGACGGGTGATCCTGGTCGATTGAAGAAGCTGCCGCCCCGCTCTGTGCAACTATACGATTTCAGTTCGTGTGTTATAATGCACATGGAGCTACACGCTTGCTCTAGTCCCCTAGCCATTCTCTTCCCTCTCTCTCTCTCTCTCTCTCTCTCTCTCTCTCTCTCTCTCTCTCCCCCCCTCTTCCTCCTCTCTCTACATCTCTCTCTCTCTCTCTCTCTTACTTACCACTTTGGATTCTAGCGCGCCTACGCACCATCTTACTCTCCAGAGAAACGATCATCCGCGTCGCGTGTTTACGCGCAACTCAGAATGACTACGCAGTCTCTCCTCCCGCGAGTCTTATACTCACAATCAGTCAGGAACAGCAACATACTCGCAGAAGCGATCGTGTATTAGTACACAGCAGTGGCCACAGCACGGTATAGTAGCAGCATTGCGCTGCTGCTACTCGTGTCGCACGTCCTTGCACAGGGGGTCAGGCCCCGTCGATACGACCCTGGCCCAGCTTCTAGCTCGCCGCTATCCTCCTAGCGCTCGACGAAGCCGTTGCTTGTGGATCTAGCTTACAGTTACAGGCACGGGGAGTCTCTCCTTCTCCTTGTCTTGCTGCTTCTACTTGGTATATCGCGTCACTCCTTCTCCATGCCGGGAGCCCAGTTTCGGCTGATAGAGCGTGAAGCGACTCGAGGCGTCTAAAGGCGCCGTCGCGTTAGCTCACGTCCAATGAAGGACAGTGTGTACCGCCGTGTAGGGCCTTACATCAGCGGCCCAGGAAACCTAGAAATTCAACGTTGACTTTAGGAAGGGACGGATCCTGATGTCGACAACGCGGCTCTCTTGGTCTTTGTGACGAAGGCAGAGAAGTAAGTGGGCGAGAGGGAGAGGGGCGAGGGAGGAAGGGAGAGAGAGAGAGGGGAGGGGGAGAGGAAAGGGGAAGCGAGACCAAGCAAAGCGGATCGGAGAGAAGGGAACATCGAGGAGAGGACTACACGTGTCGCTGCATCGGGGTGTTGACCCCAAATAGCTTTTTTAACGTGACGTAACTCGAAAGGGTTGAGAAACTGCTGGTCGTACGAGAGAGAGAGAGAGAGAGAGAGAGAGAGAGAGAGAGAGAGAGAGAGAGAGAGAGAGCCCAGCGAAGGCACACTGCCAAGCCCTTACCTTACGAGACTCGTTCGGTTATGCACGGTACAATAATCCTTTCATTCGAAACCCACTTGCCAGTATCGCCTCCTCTAGGCAGTGCTGCTGCCTCTTGACGCCATTTCTAACGTTGACACTGCCACTGTCGCATTTAATGTGCGGACGCACGCACTCGCGCACTCACGCACTCACGCACACGCTCGCTCTCCAGCTTACGACTGACTATATATTTTTTAAGAATCGCTAGCATCGCCTCGTAAAAACACAAAAGACTTTTCGACGTATCAGTCTACCCCTTGTATCTTCTAATTAGATGCAGATATCGACATCGACGCTCACGATTTTATTTTCCTAAGTATTTGCATAGTTAGTGAGGGGTTGGGGCAAGCGTCACTCGTCTGGCTGTCAATAAAAAAAGCATGACCCGACTGTCGGACGAATATGACTTTCATAGAAACATTTGAGTCACGGGAATCGTTGAGGCGGGTTTTATCTGAAAAATCTTAGGAAAGTTTGATAACCGCAATGAAGCCTATAACCAGTTGAATTATCTACGAGTCCATCGTAAGCCGAGCGATCGAGCACTTTCAGAGTTTCGTTCTTCCGGTCGACCGGTCGACCGGTCGACCTTGCCCGCTGTTAGCGAATTGTCAGAAAGTCGAGAAGGCAAAAGAAATGTCTCGCTTAGACATTAGAAAGTGCGTAGAGAGAATTCGGGGTCGCGTAGAAGAAGGCCTCCTCAGTCCCTCCACACGACATTAGGCCGCGACTATCTTATCTGTCTCTTGGCTACACACCCTAGAGGCGCGTGAACGATATATTCTATTTGCCTCGGCGTCCCTACGGCGTGAAACACGACGCCACGTACGAAGGAAATTTGACGAACGCAGCGCGCGTAAGTGTACGCGTAGTGGCGGCGGCGGCGGCGGCGGCGGCTCTTATCTTGCCCCCAACCGCAAAAGGATATTCCCAGAGAGTTTCTTGAGTTTCTTGAGTTTCTCCAGCTCCGGCAGCGAGCGGCGCGATTAGAGGGGCCAGCCGCAAGGAAGTGACGAGGTCCGGTTGGTTAAACACGCGTCCTCTTCCCTTTGGAGTCACGTCCGGTCCTCAACCTGCTTTAGACGGTTTCCCGTAGGAGAGTCCGCTTCAGGGAGTGACCGATCACTTTGAAGATAAGTCGAGGAGGAGAGGAGGAGAGGAGGAGAGAAGGAGAGAGAGAGAGAGTGGCCGAAGTAAGTGAGAGAGCGCGAGGGGATCGTAACGTGCTGAATAAATTAAGAGGGTGACTCGGGACGTTGCTCTCTGGCCTGTGGCGTGTGTGCATGTGCAAGGGAGGCTCTCGCTGTGGCTCGCCGTTGTTCGTCCTCCTGGTCGACGGTGGGTACACTGGGATGCACTGGGGTGCACTGGGGTCCACCCAAGGAGGAACGGTCCAACGGAAGAACGGAAGAATCCTCACGTCATGCCGTTGCTCATGCCGTTAAATGGCTCTTGTGGCCGAGGTGCTCGAGATGGCGGCGCAGGAAGCCTCCAGGATACTTGAAATTAACTGAGCTCCGAAAATAAAGTCAGAGCCCGGCTCGGAGCGACTTTCACGCAGTCTCAACAGGTGGTTCCCAACGTGGACTAAAAATAAAAGCTGGCTACCCTCGATGCGGGGCGCTGATCATGCGTGACGACGGGCTCCCTTGTGCACCCCTATCCCAATCCCTATCTTAATCGTTATCCGGCCCTAACCCAAACCCTCACTCTAAGCAGCCGAACCCTCAAGATCCCACAGCCCCTGATTCCAGGATGGTGGCTGCCGCTGGGCCCTCTGCTTGCCTACACCCGCTTACCCCCCGCCTACCGCCATCCCTCTACCAAGGGTCGTTGATCTCCCAAGGACAACGACCTTGTGTCTGTGGCAGCCAACCGAACGGTTCTGGGTTCCCGGATTCCTCGATTACCAATTGCTCCCCCCTTCTCTCTCTCTCTCTCTCTCTCTCTCTCTCTCTCTCTCTCTCTCTCTCTCTCTCTCTCTCTCTATCGCATCTATATCCCTTTCTCTTCTCCCCCCCCCGCCCCCTCTTACCGCTCGCCCCTATCGCTCTTTCAGACTTTTCCCTGCCTCTCGTCGTATCCGACTTTTCTCATTCCTCGTTCCTACCGCTGCACAACACTCGAGGAACTCACTGACCAGCTGTGTCAGATGGCACTCATTCCATCCAGAGAAAGAGGAGGACTCTGAAGTACGCAGAGCACAGGAGAGAGCGAGAGAAGAAGAAGGAGAAGCTGCACAGGCAAGAGGATCCTGAAGAACGAGAAACCAGGTGTAAATTTTCGGCTTTCAAACGACTCCCGTACTGCAGGAATTCGAAATTGTTGAAAAGTATGAAAAATTCATGTAATTCAGTAATCGATATGCACGACCCGACCCCGACCCGCATGCCCTGGCCCCGTTTCCTCCTCGTTCCCTTCTGCCTTAGCGACTCGCTCCAACTCGCATAAGCGTATGTAAAACGTCAGTAAGCCCTCTACTACCTCTACTACCTCTACTACCTCTACTACCTCTACTACCTGTTCACGATCGTCTTGTCTTAATTTTCCTTCTTCGTTTATCCACCGCGCGCAGGCAGGAGAGCATCTTCGCGGTGGTGCAACACGCGATAACACGCGATAACACGCGATAACACGCAGCAGCAGGAAGGGATGCTCCTTGATGAGATTGATTTCCATTATTGGTGCAGCAGAGGTAGCCGGCCGAATCGGGAGGACAAAACCCCTCGAGAGCCAGTGACCGTGACCGTGACCGTGACCGGCAGTGGAAAAATTCGAGACAGCCCCGAGAGTTATTCGAACCGGCTGGATGGAACCCTCTCCTCGTTCCGCCAGGGTGACTTCCACCCTTGCCTGCCGCTCACGGCCATCCGATGCGTGAATGCATCCTTTGTTCGTAACCCTCTTCGACTCTCTGACTTCCATCCTGTTTCTCCCTTCGGCTCTCTCCAACCCTCTCTATTACGCTTTCTAACCTTTTTGCTGCCTGCCTGCTTATCTGATCCTTTGAGTCAGCGCATGTTAACCTTCGTTTCTATATCTTTCTCTTACGAAACAGTTTTCCATTTCGATTCGATGCAAAAGTCACAAGGGGACTGATTAGACTATATATATGAGTTTCGTGTTTGCGCGCGGGCGCACGAGAGAGAGAGAGAGAAAGAGAGAGAGAGAGAGAGAGAGAGAGAGAGAGAGAGAGAGAGAGAGAGAGAGAATCGGCTCTAAGAAACTGGCCGCCACCCGCTGGCTACGAAGCTATCAGGGTTGCAACAGGTTGCCGCGCGCGGTGGAGTCTGGTCCGAAACTCCCCGCCGGCCTAATATGCGGGGATAGTTACGGGTTCTTCCTTGATTCGTGGCTTTGCACCATTATCTCGCTCTTCACCTCTATACCTTCCCACGTTCCCTTCATTCTCTTTCCCTATCGAAGGAGGAAATTACCTGCGCCGCAGCAGCAACCAGCAAGCTTAATCCGTGGTTAGTCGAGTCGATTGACAAGCACCCTTCCTGGGCTACTTATTTCTTCTCTCTTCTCTCGCCCTTCTCTCTTGAAATGTGCCGTTGCTACAATTAGACAATTGGACAATTGGACAACTGGACAATTGGACAATTCGAAAATTCGAGAGTACGAGATCGCGCGCATCCGACGACGCGATTGCCGCCTTCGAGCATCGCGCAAAGGATTCGGCGTCTCGTCGCAACCCCGTTCAACGCCGCGAGTAGAGGTAGAGAATGGAGAAGAGAAGAGAAGAGAAGAGAAGAGAAGAGAAGAGAAGAGCAGAGCAGAGTAGTGGAGTGGCACACGGAGTGGAGTAGGTATCTGACGTAACGCGGTGTGGGAGTGGCACTCGGGGGGTCAACGCCCCCGACCCTGGTAACTATTGTCCAGCAACCCCGAGAACTCGTGGCAAAAGTTATTCGTCTGTGCGCGGGTCGCGCGAGGAAAGTATTGTCCCGCACGTCCGGGCTGCCTGCCACTCGAAGAATGGTCAGTAGTTGATCGAGGATGCGGGGGCCGAGTGAACTGATATTGTCAGCCAGCAGAAGGGAAGCTCTGCGGGTACTGCCAGCGGGTACGGACAGTAGCTTGCCCGCGGGACTATCGTAAAGAGGTTACAAAGGAGAGAAAGGGTGGCTGTGCCGTTGGAATGTCAAGTCACTCGATTCGAGAACCGAGAACCGGGAATCACGGGGGCTGCGAGAGACACCAGGTGTCCCAGCTGTCGGCGAAGGCATCGCCGTCGGCCTCCTCGCCGCAAGAATATCCTCTGAGATTCGAGAGCCTCCGGGTGTCTCGCATTTAGGTCGCTATATGAGAATAATCGAGACACGTCCGTGTTCCTTGGATTTTCAACTTGACGCCCAGTCCTTTGATCCAATTAAAATGTAAGTCAGCGTCGACCAGGTGTGTGTGTGTATATATATATATATATAGCAACACGTAACATAGCGTTACGTAGAGCACACAGGCCGGGCACCCTATTCCCACTGACTCTGGCTCTTTCATTCCGACTCTCGTGTCGCGTGGAAGAAACTCTTGTGTCCCGTGCTTCGTGCCTTGTAGGAAGCATCCCGAGTGTGACAAAGGACGAGTCTAGGCGCACCGGTAGACTCGGCAAGTGGGTTGGTCGTCGTCGTCGTCGTCGTCGCCGTTGACGTCGTATGTCGTCGTTGGTAGCTGGCAGTTGGTACCCCCGGCCCGTTCAACGACCCCATCCGCGCACTCCAGTGTCCGCACGTGACGAGAGGACCGACGAGAGAGCGTCGACAACGGCCAGGATAATTTCGTGCCGAGTAGTCACGTCCGTGAGTCACGCTCACTCACGGAGGGACGTCGTCGGACGTCTCGCATACGCTGCCCAATCGATTCCTCGATTTTCGGCCAAGGGTCGCCTACGCCGTATACAACGTATACATAAATACATATATACCCGTACATTCGCGCCAGACAATTTCAAGAGGACGTTTCTTTGATTCTCTTTCAATACACCCTCTCTCTCTCTCTCTCTCTCTCTCTCTCTCTCTCTCTCTCTCTCTCTCTCTCTCTCCTTCTCCTCTATAGATATCGTGATACGCGGTCTATCTCCGTTCCCTTCTTCTCCTACAATTTCTCTGATTCCTCCGCATGTCCTAATTTTCTCATGGCGATTGTCATTTGCTCTGCAGGCACTACCTAGGCTACCTTTTGCCCCTTTTCTCCAGGCGTACGACCTTTAACAACATTTCGATAGCACTTTTCACCCGAGGAGCACGAAGAATAACTGATTCGCGCGACCCTAACGAACTCTAAGCGCGCCCTGATACTTTAATCCCGGCACGACGCTTCGCTTGTCGGCGATGTCCGTTGATTCTCTGACAGAGCAGCGAGGAGATTTAGGATTGAGAAAGGAACAGGAATAGGGTAAGGGAAAGAGGAAGGAGAGATAACAACGTGGGCTCCTTAAAGTGCATTGGCTTTACGATCCCCCGTCAATTCCCGTCAATTCCCGTCAATTCCCGACGAATCACCTACGACGTTGTCGCGAGAAACGTCCCGTTACGTCGAGTCTCGCTTTGAAAAAGGAAGGTGAATCCCGAGACATCAAGGGCGCTCGGTGAAAGTCCCTTATTGGAATGGCCGACTATTCTTGGACTACTTCGCCGACTACTCTTACGGACTCTACTCTGTCGAGGGTGAAAGAGACTATTGTTGCTGCCTACCTCGAGCTCCTTCCTGGACTCCATGCTTTGTCCTTTTTTCTTTCTCTCTTGCTTTTCCCCTCAGCCATCATGCCAATCGAGTGGCTTGCTAATAAAGGGTTAGGAGACAGGATCAGAGACTATTGCCAGCCAGACGTTCTCTGGTCGATATGCAGGAAGTATGGGGAGGGATGATGATGAATCTCTTGATAAACTGATGATGCTGGAGGAGTCCAGTGATAATCGTCACCTTCCATGGACTCTGGTTTCACTTGACAGCATTCTGGAACCGCAGAGTCAGGGGGGTCCGTCCATCTTCCGTGGATTTTCTTGTAATTCGCTCACAAGACTCTGCGACACTCGTGGGATACCGATAGTCAGTCTTACGGTGCGCCGAGCCATGGTACTTCCGACAGAAAGCCGCAACCCAAGAAACGCTGACCACCATCTTGTGGCTGGATTCTGTACTTCTTATGACTCCTAGTCGTAATCCGTTACACGATTGCTGGTAACGCGTCTGGAGAATCCAGTTTTCGAAGCGCGATTTCATTCGTGCTCGCTCGCTGCCGCGTCCGTGCAGCAGACGATAGTTGCGCGCGCAGGCGGCCACCTTTGTTTCGCTCGATCGAGAGGCCATTTTAATTAAAAAATGATGATTCGCGAGATTCCCTTGCCAATTCTTTTAAAGATATGGGCAATGTTTTAATTGCTCGAAACACACCGAGCGACCGAAAGTTTGCATAAAATTGTGCAGCCACCCTTGTTTGTTTGCATGGCAACGGCCATTGCCATCCCCGTTGCCAGGACGCCCGTAGCCTCTTGCGTACGCTTATGCTTAGTATTTATCGATTCTATAAAACTTAGGATAGAATCAGCATTGCCAGTGTTCATTCAGATTCAGAACCTCCAAGAGTCGCAATCATTGACAGTAGCGTAAGAAACTGTTCCGATAAACGATAAAGAGGAAGATGTTAGCGGTCGAAGAAATTCTTAACGAATTAGGCTGGGCGGATGGATTTCGCATTCCAATTGCCAACGAGGAAAATAAGCAGCTGGAAGAAGAAGTGAGATTTTCGAAGTATTCTTTCGGAGAAGCTACTGCGATTCGGATACTTAAAATTGTCGTATTTGGCTTTTCAGATCGAGCGAAAGAGCACGTACAAGGCTTCCCTGAGCGTAAAGCTGGAGCGGCTACGGAACAGAGTCGAGGCCATAGCGAAGCACACGGGAAACGTTCTGGCGGAGCAGGAACACAACAAGAAATTGATTCAGGCGCATTCTCTCCAACTCGACGCCGAAGAGCATCTCTTTAGAACGGCCGAAAGCATCAATTCGAATGTCACTCAGGAGACCCGAGAGTTTCAGAGGGAGAGGAAGGACATCGCTCAGAGGATCGCACAGAAGGAGGCTCAAATTAGGAAGCTGACGACGAAGCTGGCGGCTTCGGAGAAGGTTGCACGGCTGGACAAGGAACGTTTGCTAGAATGGGATGAAGCCTTAGCCAGGGAAGAGGAAGACAGTCGGCTTATCGAGAATTATATGAAGCTCGATAAGAAAAAATTTAAGGCAGGTGTTAATAAAACTTAATCCTCGCAGCACGGGAACCACGCATCTTGGTCGATTTTAAATTAAATGCATTCTGATGTAACAGGAGCTCGAACTGAGAAGGCAGAGGCTCAAAGGCCAGTTGGATCGTTATCGTGCCGCTATAGTCTCGAGCGTGAACGAAGCATACGAAATGGAAGTTGTTATCGACGGGACCGCCAAGTTGTACGTGAAAGCCCTGAAGGAACGTCGGCAATTAATACGACAATGGACGCAAAGTGTACTGATGCTGCGACAACGTGATGCCGCTCTGGAACAACTGCTGAGGGTACGTTTCCTCTTGGACAATCGGGAGGGCCCTCCTGGTGGTTAACGGAAGTGTAACGTTATTAGGAAATGGAAAACCTCCGGGAAATTGCCCGAGAGAAGGTTCAACTGTTGGGAGAAGCAGAGGAGTTCTGTGAGAGCCAGATATCGAACAACAAGCAACTTGAAAGAACGATTAAACGACTCGAAGAGAAATTAGTCTCCCTTAGGGCGGATCATCATGGACTCGTCGAGGGAATCGGCGCTTGCGCGCTCGAGGTAAGGCGCGACTCTCGGGGAGTCTCCCTTATCCCATTTAGACCTTCATCTTTCCTCTGACTCGATTCCTTTTTCAGCTTGACACCCAAAAGAAAGTCCTCAAAGAATTCGCCAGACGGGTTCAACGTATTCAAGCTGACGCGAAACAAAAGAAACGTCAGATTTCGATGAAACGCAAGAAATCGGAAGAGTCTGCTAAACAAGTTCTGGATTTAAAAGCAACGCTACAGGATATTGAGGGCCAGCGATTCAATACTGCGGACAGAACGAAGCAATTGGAGGGTATGATTGAGGTACCTGAACGGAGTGATCAATGGTCGAATAAGCTGGCTGAGGGTGCTATGAGTGGTTGCAGTAACCATTTTCTTTCTCTGTCAGACCGAGGAAGAGCACAGGACTCTGATTAATCGAGAAGCGACCAGACTTCAAGGATTGGCTCTGCGCTCCTCGCAGCGCTTGGTGGACCTCGAGGGTCAGAAGAAGATTCTAGACTTGCAAATAAAAAGCGAGCGTAAGAAAATCCATGCCCTGCAGGCGTTTCGGACAAGAGAGGAGCAGGAGCTCGAGTCTAAGCAGGAGGCCGTGTACAATTTGGATTTCGAGATACAAAAGTACGAGATGAGACTGGAGCACTTGGCGGGGGTGGAGCGCGACAAGGAAGAGGTCGAGAAGAAACGGAAGACCGTAGAAGAGCTTGAGAAAATTCTACGGGAGAAAACGGACATCTCGAAATTATTGCAAAGCCAAATAATAAATCTAGAAGTAAGAGCCGCAATTCACCATCGGTTGCCCGATGAAATTGCTTCTTGAAATTTCCGTTATCCGCACGCAATTCTTTCAGCACGATATGAGAAAAGTATCCAACAGCCTGGCAAACGATGACGTGGAGCTCCAGCGTTTGCGAAATAAAAAGCAAGACCTGACACTGTTAATGGACTGCGGTGAGAAGCAGCTGAAAAATATGCAGAGCCTCAACGAGGAGAAGCAAGTCGCGGAGAACATCCTGCGACTGCGGGTCTCGCAGGTCGAGCAAGTCACGTCGATGATAGGCAGGAAAGTTTACAATCTAGAAAAGTACAAGGTCCAAATAGAGGCGGTAAGTAGTGCTAATTAGCGGGACGTTGTTCCTCCACTCTATACAGTGTGTAAACAGTCCGTGTCAATTTACATGCAATCGACGATGATCAGGCGATGCAAGAGAGAAAAACCGAGATAAAGGTGCAGACGGAATCGCTGAACATCCAAAGGAGGCTGGCCACCAGCGAATCCTCGGAATTGCGAGGCGCCGTCGCAGAGAGGATGATACGAATTCAGCAGTTACAAACACGATATGACAATTACATGAGCACTTTCGGAAGCACCTCCGATGGCTCGCCCTTGACGGCCACCTATTTTAAGGTCCAAAGTGCCCAGGAGAAGTATCTTCTTCAGGAGCAGGGAGACCGGTTGGACGAGAGAATTAGGAGGACGGAGCAGGAGATACAGAGTATGGAGAACACCCTGAGAATAGTGAACGTCTGCAATGAGAAGTACAAGCTCAGCCTGGGGACGGTAGACGAGAGTGGAGTCGAACGAACTGAGCAGAAGAAATTGGACGAAGAGATGTTCAACGTTTTACAGAAGATGAGACAGAAACAGGCGATTCTGGAAGAAGCGGCAATCGATTTAAAAGTTGTTCATTTCATAGTTTTACGCGATCCCCGTCTCTGAGGGTCTTCATACCCTAGTAACAATCAGATGTCTCCCGCAAATCTTGCGGTCTCCTGCAAGATTTTCAGCAGACCTGTGTGACAGTCATTCCTGATTTCCATGATTGTTACTAGGGTAATAACATAGTGCAATTGTACTTTTCTATGTGCTTTCATTCGCATAGGCCATGGAACATAATTACTCTCAGTTATTGGATGACTTGGAGAGGACGGAGAAGGAGAAACTCGAGAAACAAAGACATCTCGATAATTTGGAAAAACAGATCAGCGAACAGAAAGAGAAGGAATTTCGTGCCGATAAGAGTCTTCATAAAGTCTTTAAAGACATTCAAAATATGTGTACTTGTACCGATGATCATACGCTTTTGTTACAGGAGGTAAACGAATCGTGACAACCACGATATTTTGTCGTTCACTTTGTTAGAAATTTTCTTTTTTTTTTCAGCAAGATATAGCCGTCCGAGAGCTTCAGGAGCAAAACGGATTAGCTCTTCAGAGAATTATGGAATTTATCATCCGGCATGCAGAATCTGAACCGTACGTGAAGAAGCTCCTTGCCGAAAAGAATATGATTTTACCTTGCGTTAATTATTTTAAACCTTCCCCAACTGTAAGTCGCTGCGGTAGCAGCGCAAGTTCTTTTTCGAGTAAACGATTTTTTAAAAGCGGAAGTCGCGCTGATCTTACAACCTTCAGGGAAAGTGTCGGCGCCATTGTCAATGTAGTGGCTTCGTTTGATGGTACGATCGCAGTCACTGAACCGTAATATCGAACAATAAAATTAAACATTGATACTTTCAGACATCATCAGCACGACAAGATCGATTTCAAAACTGAATAGACGTCCTAAGAAACGTGATGAAAAATCAAAAGGCTATAATTCCAGTGGCATGAGCAGCAAACACAGTACTAGAAAAAAATAGACGAGCGAGTTCTCTAGTATTAAGTATTTTGTAATTAATGATCTCGAATAAAGTTAACTCGTGCTTCGGAAATCACTTTGGGAAAGTGTGGTGGAAACTGCGTACGAGAAAGAAGTAATATTACTGTATCAAATTCTTCTTATAGTGCGTTGGTGCAACAGCATGGCTATAAAAGTTCCTCGATTTATTCCTTCATAGCGATAAACAGAATGACACAGTGAGGATGGTGGGGACACTGCTGATCGGGGCAGATCGAGGCGCGATCATACTCATTCTATGTTTCGTTCCAAGTTACGAGGGTTAGAAACACTTCCCCGAGTGATTGCTGTCTTTGCTGTTCAGCCACTTACAATTAGAAAATCTTCACGCCCTGCCAGTTTATTACAAGCTAATTACAATTTCTGCAAGGTAAATCGCACGAGTTGCACTCTCGCCATTACTACATAGCCACCATTTAGAGCCACCATATTCTACATACATATTTTACACGTTCCGAAATTCGCCGGCAAGTTTCGTCGTGTTTTTATTTACTTGCGTACAATCAGAGAGACACAATTTAGTGTCAACACTCAGTTCAGTGAGACACAATCATGCTTGCAATACTGAGGGTGAATTTCGGAATGTATACATATAAGTACGTATTATAGAAGTTGCGCATCACGTGTGTCGAAGAGAATATAACTATTACGTATTTCGTTATCGAATTTGTTCGAGGTCAATGGCATTCCTATATTTATCTCGGAGCCTAGACCCTTTCTCTTATATCAAGGGTAAATTGACTTATGATGAGAGGTTATACAATTATACAATTATTCCTTTAACACGAATATTATGCCCTTACAGATGTCAGAGATAACTGAAATTTCTAGCAATAAAATCTTTGGAGGATGGCAAAAGATTTACACCCACAACAGGTACTTCCTTGTTCCTTTTTCATCATTCAAAATATAATATTCCAATTTCAGTACTAATATAATATTCTAACATTTACTTCATCAGCTCAGAGCTAAAATGTAAAATGAATTTTGGAGTTTTTCTACCGCCGCAGACGGAGGAGGGTTCGGTACCTGTTATTTATTGGCTTTCTGGATTAACTTGTACAGAAGCTAATTTCATACAAAAGTCTGGTGCACAAAAGTATGCTGCTGAACAAGGTGTCATCATTGTTGTACCTGATACTAGTCCCCGAGGACTTAATATACCTGGACAAGAAGACAGCTGGGATTTTGGAACTGGTGCTGGTTTCTATGTTGATGCAACGATGGATCCATGGAAAAATAATTACAGAATGTATTCTTATGTTACAAAAGAATTACCTGCATTGATTAACGAAAAGTTTCCTACCATCCCTGAGAGACAATCTATTATGGGACACAGGTACAATAATGTCTATTACAATTTCACGTTAAAAAAAAAGCCTAATAAACATTTTTTATATTATTAGAGTTATAGTGGTTTAGCAATAGATAGTATACAATGCAGACGTTTTCGGGTAAGATTGTATTTAATGTTGAAGCATGGGAGGACACGGAGCTCTTATTGCAGCACTGAAAAGTCCTGGACAATACCGAACAGTGTCTGCATTTGCTCCCATTAGCAATCCTAGCAAGTGTCCCTGGGGACAAAAGGCTTTCTCTGGTTATCTGGGTGGAACACATGGTGATATCGCTTGGAAGGAGTACGATGCTGTAGAACTGACAAAAAAGTACAATGGACCACCTTTGGAAATTCTAATTGATCAGGTTTGTTATAGTTCTAGTAATAGTATAATTTATTATTAGTGAGGTTTCATTAAGTCAAATATCACTTACCTTTGACAGGGTACAGAAGACATTTTCTTGAAACAATCGCAGCTGCTACCTGAGAATTTATTGGCAGCAGCTAAGGAAACTGAGTTACGTTTAATTCTGCGATTGCAAGAAGGTTACGATCATAGCTATTTCTTTATAGCAACCTTTATCGAAGATCACATTAAGCACCATGTCAAACACTTGAAAAGTTAAAATACCTAGATGATTATTCTTAATCCTGTTCCTCCTGTGTCTTTCCTCCCTTTTGTTTTGTTTTTTTTGTAAAAAAAGTGGACTTTGATTTTGTGCTTAGTCAGTCTGAGAAAGGTAACAGATATATTTTTATAATTATTACTTATACCCTCCCCCATAGAATGCAGAATTCCCATAACATTTTTCTCTGTGGTTAATTACATTTAAACATGGTGTTAAATAATTAAAGGTTCAACAATAAAAATATATTGTTAATATATCTCTTTCTGACAACAATATTAATTCTTGTTCATATTCTTTCATCACTTGCATAAATAATGTTTTACAAAATGTACATGGTTTTAAGTAAGCTGATACTCTACCAGTATCGAAGGACGCTCTATAAAAGAAATCATCGTTAAGGAGATCGTGGTGGATTACGCAATTCGTGCCAAAACGTCAAAACAGGCTCGCGTTTTTGCCAGATGTTGATGTTACCCCACATTTGCCAGAATCTAGGTTGATTAGGAAAAGTACGATTACCGCTTCAGATATAAAAATATTTTTGTTTTGGTACTTACATTCCCCACAAAGCACCACCTAAATGCGCGGCATGGTCGAAGTACCGCCACCCCAAAGCACAACCCGCAAGATCCATACCTATTAAAACTTTGATTGCCTAAAATACATCAATCAAAGAATTGTAGACACAAGCCATTTGGTAATATTACTTTGAAATTTGAAATACAAACCGCGCCTGCTGTGAAAGTATACATGGGTAAAAAGATAATACTGAGTCGTGTATCCGGATAATGAGTACACACAAATCCTAAAATCCCCATGATAGCTCCGGACTGGAAGACGAAATACTCATTTCATTCCATTTAATTATAAATTTTTTCAGAAGTTTATTTACTTACAGCTCCAAGAGAGAGACCAGGTCGAGAGAAAGCAGTTTTGTAGACATGGCTGATAAAACTAGAAATAACTCCACTGGATAGATACAGTGCCATAAATTGTTCTTTGCCAAGAGCAGCTACTGCAGCAGTGCTAAAGCTGTGCAGTACATACATGTTTGCAGCCAAATGAAGTATTGAGTAATGTGAAAATGTTGAAAGTAACATAGGCCAACATGTTGCACCTTGGGTCAAACAAAAATATCTATATATACAACACGATAGTGTTCACATTCATAAAAACCATTGTATCTGATACTCATTCAACATGATCTATCATCACTTACTCGAAGCTGGATTTGCACAGAAGTAACGAAGCATTGTGCCCTGAAATGATGGTATTCTCCAGGCACAGAATATCAGAACATTTATGAAACATATAGGTACAAATATTTTTTGCCCATCTGTTAAGCTTCTCCACCAATTTTCCATCTCTCCTCTCCATCCAATTTTCTACATATTAAAAAATAGAAATTAAGACAGTTATGCTAAATTACTAAAAAAAGAAAGAGTACTATATTAGACATACTCTAATTCGATACTGCTGATATTGATTGATGACTCTATATGTTTGTTTCCGAATCTTCTCATATTCCCAGATAGCTGCACCAACTATTGTAGCACCACTGAACTATAAAGAAAATATAGAATGTAACATTTTTTAAAAAGAAATTGTACACCTGTTTACCATAACGGTAAACCCAAAGGGTTTCCATAGTCTACTGAAGTGCATAGGGCCTGATTCAATTTGCACATTCGGGATAGGACTATCAATTTGCTTCGAAGAATCTCTAAATCGGCGAAAGCATCGAATGTGCTTCAGGGTAGTCTGCGGCTCAAATTTGGCCCTCCGGCAGGACGCTGCCGTAAGGAAACTGAAAAATGACAATCAATAATATATTACAAGATGCAACATCGTCTTGTATAACCTACTTAGAAAACAAATGCTCCTTACCATTTACCTGAGGTATCACCAAAGTGCAATACAGCTCGAAGCGTTGCCATATTTAAAATATTTTGGTAGTATTTAAAAATTAATTTCTGTATTTGTGTATTAGATTTATAATTAGAAATAACACATAATTCGTGAAGTTTATTAAGATTCTAGTTACAGGCTACTAAGAAACTTCGCGTATCGAGATTTTGACAGCACACCGAAAATATCCGCAATCTTGTACACTTCTGGAGACTCCGCGTGTTCTAAAATCTTCATGATATGCTGTAAGCTATGAGACAAATATACGCTATAACCCACGGTCTTAATGTACGGGCCCAGTCACACTCGTCAAATACGGCACCGAACGCAACTCACGACTAATAGCAAACCGTGAATTCCTCTGGACTTGTCATACTATTGGTCGACAATCTATGTTCTTAGAAAAATTGATCATACACAGTAAAGATATAACTATAAAATGTAATTCAAATTCCTTTTCTAACATATTATTCGAACATCTACAACGTAACGAACATCCCAATTGCTTTCTATTACACGAAAAACAAACGTGTTGACTCAGTTTATTAAAATAGAAAGAAATACACGTTTCACTAACTATGCCTTTTAGGTGAACACAAATGGAAACTGCTAACAAAGGTTTTTACAAATAAACCGCAAACAAATAAAATAGAGGCCAACGAAAAAGAAGGAACACTTGGAAATCAGAAATCCTGGTCAAAAATATTTAGATGTACTGGAAGTTGCCCAAAATTGTGTGCGCGCAAATTCGTCGTGCAGGACTGGGTGAGCGGCAGCAGGCGGATGGTGGGGGAAGCGCTCGAGACAGCGCCCGGACTCGGAGC